TGGATATTGCCTGCTCACTGGATGATCGTGTTGGCATTCTGGCGTGTGGTGGAGTGTACACTGAAATGTGTATATTGCAAACATATTGCTTCTCTTTATAACTTTCCCATTTCTCCCCCCCCCCCCCCACTCATTTCAAACATTGGTGTGTCTGCCAGATTCCTGGATGGAGATGTGATGCAAGTTTCCTAGTATGTATATGATTTGTGGGACAAAATGTCACTGTGTTAACTGAGCTGGAATGCCTTGCCTCCTGCTTCGTGTCTCCTGTAAACCTAAGGGTGGGGTTTTTTTTGTTTTTTTTGAGCTCTCTTTAGTTCTGTTGAGCTGTAAAAGTCTCTCAGGAGGGAACAAAGAGATGTCCTGGTGTGGAAAGAGATGAACCTTGCACTGGTGCTTTTAAAGGATTTAACTTGCTTCCTGATGAAAAATGTTGCTCTTTACTTTTAGAGTCTGATACTCAGTAGATTCCCAGCTCAGCTATTTTTCCACATCAGAATAAAGGAAAATCCATGTGCAGTCCAATTCCTTAATTTGTGCTGGTTTTGCCTGAAAATAGCCATATGTGGCTTTCATTTGATATGGATGGCTCCATACTGTTTTGGTGCAGGAATTGAAAGAGCAAGTTTTCTACGTGGAAAGAGAACTTCTCCTGTAAAAACTTCTCCTGATTCTGGCTAATAGTTTTAAAAAAAAAAATAAATTACTCAGCAGTGGGGATGACTCATGCCATTATGAAGGTATGGATTAATACCTGCATTTAGTATGCTTGATTAGTGTTAGTAGCTGCTGAGTAGCCTCCTTAGACTTAAATAACTTCTGTTCCACTGAACCAAGGAACCTTGCTCAGGATCAGAACCCGACTTTCATTTCAAAAAAAGGATGAAATGGGGGTGCAATTTATAAAGCATTTCTATGAAATGTACACCCAGAATAGCGATAGTCTTTGCAGGTGAATACTGCCTCTGGAGACATCTAATTTTTCATCTAAAAAGAGATATGTAGCCTGAGCTGCTGGTTGTGAAGGTGGTCTCCCAGGCGTGGATTGCATATAAATCACAGCAGTCGTCATCTTGAAGCCTGGAGGGGAAAAAAAAAAATCCAACCTCATGCTGTTTGTGCTGATCAGATACAAATGTGGGTTCCCTCGGATCTCACAGTTCCTGTTGGAAACGGTGGTAGCAGTAGTGAAGTTGATTGGAACTGGGTCATTCTCATTTTGCTACTTTTTTGGAATGATGAGATCTGTGCTGGCTGATTTAGGAGCATCCCCTTTGCTGTGAACAGTCTGTGCCAGAAACAGAAGATAAATTAGGGGTGGGAGTGCTCCCTTGCTTTCTTCCTGCGCCCTTTCTCCCCTGACAGATTCCTTCGTAGCAATGAGGACCACGCGGGCTGCATGAACAGATGTGGTGGGAGTTTCTTCTCCCCTCAGAATCAAGCTTAAATTGAAAATTGAAGTCACCATTTACTGAATGATTAGGTTTTTTAATGACTGTAGTTTTGTAGCTTATGAGTTGGGCTTTGCCTGTGAACACAGTGATCTTCTGGAGTCGAATATTTAGATTTCTAGCTACGTTCTTTCCAAACGCTACATGTGAGTGTATATATGTCTGTGTGTGGGAAGCTTTCTTTTGCAGGTACAGAGGAACTTCTTAGAATTAAGATTTCTGCTTCCCCAAACTTTATCAAAATGTCTGTGGTCACCCATCCTGTGCTTATCTGGTTGTCTCACGTACTGAAAAAGCAATGCCACTGAAAAAGTAAGTACTGACCAGGTACGATCAAAGTCTTTGGTCGCAAAAGCCAGGCTGGAATGGGAGGCTTTTGTCCAATGATAACTTTTTAGGTTTCTTTTTTGAAGTGTGGTGGTGATTTTTACCTGTGAGTTGTATGTGCTAACTGCAGCCAGTTTGATATGCCTAACTGCTTAAAACCCATTCAGGAAAAATGTTACACTCTATAAAATATAACTGCTTGAGAACTAAATTGAGTGTTTAGACTTCAGTCTTGGTGCCATATGTTTTGTTTTAGCATTTCCTCGCAGATTCCCACTCCTCCCCCCAGCCTAGCTAAATAAAATTGATTCCTACAGTGTATTCCCAGTATTCAGGCTGTTGATTTCACTTGAAGGCTTGCTTTGTGTGCTCATCTGTAAACTTTTTCCGCTTAAAGTTGGTAAAAAGCCTTTTTGTTGTTTTAGATTATGTTAAAGCTTATATACGGTTATCTTTGGGCAAATATCAATCTGTTAAAAAAAAATAAAAATAAAATGTTAGCAGTCATTCATAGTACTTGGTCTGCTTGGGCACTGAAGTGTCAGTACCGCAGTTTTTCAGCTGCTTGTACATAGACAAATATACCTTCTGTATTCCTTCATGAGACTGAATAGCCAGGTTACTCCTGCATCCAGGCTACCCTTCCTTTGAATACTTGGCACATCTCATTTCTTTAAGACCTTTGATACCATCGCTCTACTAGAATGGGGCTAAATTGAATTGATCCTCACCTCTTGGGAAGTGAAAACAAAAGGTGTTTAGTTGTGCCTGTGTCTTTGTTTGGTGTTTCTGTTGTTTGCTGTCTGATAGGAAGGAGGATAAAATGCACAAGGAAGCAGACTGAGGACATAAAAAAGCCAAGCGGTGGTGAAAGAGGCTGGCTGGGAAGAAGGCATCGTTGTTATCGAAGCGGCGGGGCTGGGTTTTCTTCCGTTTTAAGCTGATTTGAGGGGAGGGCAGAGATGGTTCCTGCTGCTTTCAGTTATTCTGGGGTATTAAAAAAACCCCAAACATATGGGTGTTTCATGTGGAAGTAGTTCACACTTTCCCCGTGGTTGGTTTCTGTGTGGTAGTTGCTTTCAGTACTGCTAGGTTCCCAGACTGATTAATGTTTAACACTTTCATTTCTCAAGGATACCATTTAGATAGATTCAATTTAATGCAAATATTTTGGCTAGTGCTGGGAAATTTGGATGTGCTGTGCTCCTGAGCACACCTGAGGGTTCTGTACGCTGGCTGACAAATGCATGCCCAGGAGGTTTGTTTCTTCTGCAACTGGTGAAATCTTGGAGAGAATCAACTCTTCCCCAGAACATTTGTCTATTTAAACTTGGCAGCATCTATTTTATTTCTGAGTGTTAGCAGCTTGCCCACCAAGTTGGTGTCTAGAGATATAATCTTTTAATAAAAGTTGGAGCTGTTTAAAATGATGGGCAATAACACTGGTTCTTGCTGCTGATGTGTTAGTGAATTGCAAAAAAACTGCATTTGGTCAATTGGAAGATTTCCCCTAAAATGCACGATATCCATCGTAAATCTCTGTAGTAGTAAATTTAGCTGTGGACATGCTAATGGAGCACTTGTAAACTCGGCGTTATTAAACTTTCGTAATAGGGAGAGACAAGCTTGAGAGCTTTGTGGGTGTAGAAGAATAGCTGTTGGAGCCGTGGAATTTGGCATTGCAAAATCTTTGAAATAGCTGGATCCTGGGACTTTCCAGATGAGTTTAGCCTATTACCCTGAGCTCCCTTTAGAATCAAACAGCGGAGACGCAGATACGAAGAACTTGGCTCTCAAGGTTGCTGCAGTTTCCTGTGACTTCACCTAAGGGAGTTCAGCCTTGACATTTCTAAAGAACCATCAAATTCCGTCTGTCTTTCTGGCAGTCATGCGGGAAAGTCTCAGAGGCAGGGTTAGGTCCCTGGCTGACAGGCGGTCCAGGCTCTTTACCAGAAGGTCATCGCTCCTGGTGTATGAGAGGAGATGTGGTACCGCTGATGTGCAGAATAATGCATATGCTAATGAAGGGAGCCGTACTAAGAACAAAATCAAACTTGTCTGATTAAGACAAGGTCACTTTAGCAAGTAGTGTAAATACAGCTGAATGACAATAGGGTTATGGGTACCTGACTAGGTCTGTGGTACCACTTTAGTATTTCTCATGTTCCTGCCATGCACAAATACAAATGAAGAGACTGACCTTAGCGTGGGATTCTGTCAACTGTTAAGTCTGATCCCTTAGGTTGTCTGGGTGCGTCGTTTGCCTTGAAACACTGCTTGTGCATGGGGTTCTCATGTTAATCGTCACAGCCTGCATATTCCTTGTTTTTCACCAGATTATGTGGTCCTGTCACATAGTACAAACAGGGATTCGTGGTGATCCAAGTGCAGAAAGGAAAAATCCAGTATTTCTTTTCACCTCTGCTCAATAGCTACAATATCCAGCAACTTTTTTTTCCCCGAAGTCCTTTCTTTCACCGCTCCCCAGGGTTCTCGAAGATTGTTGTTTCCTGGTGTAGTGTCACTGCATGCAGAATTTTTGCTTAACACAGAATTTCTTGCAATGAAGAGAAATGCCATCCCTGGAAAAAAAAAACTTGGTTATGCATCAACCTCCACCAAACCAGAGCCTAAAGCGCCTTGCAAGGATTTGGTAGACCTCTTTGGTTTTGCACACTGGGAAGTCTGCAGGGCACAGCTGCCTTCAAGTCTTAAAGGCTTCACAAACCCCATCTGTGAATGAAGGACGGAGTAAATCCATAGCACTGATTCACTTTCTCACTGAATCATCAAATTAGTCGAATCGTCCCTCCACACATCCATTAAAGTTTTATACAGCTTGTACTGCATGCTTGTGAAACAACACTCAAACTCTTTTAACTCAGTCAAATTAAAATGCATTTTTTTGGGGGAATGTAGAAAAGCTCTTCTGAAGAAGGTTTTAGTTTCTGGCCAAACTTCAATTTTCTGCCCCATCCGTTTTGTCTTGAGAGCTGCTGAGTGGGGGTGGGGGAGAGAAAAATTTCTTGTTTTGTTTAATTTCACTGTTTCATGCTAAACTGACTTTACAGCATTCTCCCAAATGGATATTTCCTTCAGGCAGGAAATGAGCCTATGTAAATTCATCCTGGAGAGAAAAGGTACGAGCAGCTGTTAAAGAACAGTGAGAGTTGAAATACTTCAGTGATCGTCTCCAACTGTAGTAAATTCTCCTTGGGTTTTGCCAAACTTTACCGCTTCATAGTCATGAATGGTAATTTAAGCACAAACTTTACTCTTTTTACTGCTAGCACCTTGCTATTAATAAAGCTGTGTGGGAGGGTGCTGTTTCCTTTTCATCCATCCACAGAATTGTTAATTAAGTTAAAACTGTGGAGTGAAATTTTGACCTCGAGTACCCCTCTGAGTCTTCTGAGCACGTGGCTTGTCCTGTGGTATCCTCTGCTAGCTTATTGTGTGGAAGAATTTAAGTTGCCTTTTGTCTTAGAGCAGAGTTAATCGATGAATTTTGCAGTTTGTTAGAGGGGAGAGTGTTGTCAAATAGGAAAATGTTCTAAAAAACTAGTTGTGGTGTTGAATTGTATTGATATGCATGTGGTCAGGGCATGAGATTATTGCATCTTGTGGCAATTCAACATAGGTTTTGTAAAACTGGTGTTTTCCTAAACGTTGGATGAAAGCTCTGTAGTTACTGTTGGACAGGTTGTGAATTTTAATTTTTGATTAGGTCTAAGTTAGGCTTTTTTTCGTTTTTGGTCTTCAGGGGATTCTAAGTCCATTTTCTTTGGATCCAGGGTTCATTCCAGCTCTCTGAAAAGGAAGCTTTGAAAACAGTGCAGAGAGTAGTGGAAAATGATAGCATTTGAAAAGTGAGAGATCAAGTTAATAGCTGTGGGATGAGAGCACTTAAAGAATATTTTTCCTAAGAAAATTATCTGGCCGTGCTCTGAGCTGGTACCTGTTGAGGTAAGTGGGACGGCTGAGACAGCAGTCAGACATTTCAGGCCATCAGCTTCAGGCAGACACCACAATATTAGGTTATCCTGATGGCTTAAAAACTCATAAAGAAGATGCTTCTTGTCACACGGTAAACACCTTTCCTGCAAAATCCCCAGGGATGGATTTCATTATGTCAATTTTCAGAACACAAATGGAAAGCTACTGTCACTTATTTTGCTGAGATGCAGAGCTAGAAAGGACTCCCAGGGTCATGGAGTCCAGTTCCCTGCTATTGCTGATGCCAAATCGTATAATCCCTATACCAAATTAATGAATGCTTGTGTTTGAAATGGTGCATGGGGGAATTACAGGCACACGTTCTATTAAACACTCAAGCCGCCGTGTGACCCTGTCATCGCTGTGTGAAACAGCTGCTTAATGGATTCCCTATGACAGTGGGAAGGAACAATGCCTTCTCTTTTATAGCAAGCCTCTATAGCTCAGTGTTTTTCTTACGCTGCTTGCTTTATGTTCTCAGGCTGTATCTGCAAGGACCCTTCCTAGTGAAGGCATGGGAGGACCGCAGCTTGGTGTTCATGCTGTCTCTAAGCCATAAACACATTGACTACAAATGTCTCTGATTTATGATTCCTTAACATCCGCCAGTGGAAATTGAATCCTTTGGAAACTTGATGTGTTGTATGTCCTCCCCTGTAAGAACCTCAGCTCCTAGGCCAGTTCTTTGTGAACCTCTTTCTCTCGCCTTGCAAGGTAGTGCACCAAGAAAGTTGAAAGCTGAGGCTGTAAGTTCCATCCCTTGACTAAAGTAAAAATCGTCATTGAGGATGCCAAGTGCGGTCTAATAAATAACTTGGTCTTAACAGCCAAGAAATACCTTGGTATTGACTTCAGCAAACTGTACTTCACTGGAAAAAGTGTCTTGAGCGTGAACTCTCTTCCTCTTGAACCACTCACCGATGCACATCTTTATTGGAACAGCTGAGAGGCTGATGGACTAGCAGCCTGAGCGTAGTGATTTGTCCAGATCCTAAGGCACAGGATGGTTCTCAGTATTCTTGGTTAAAGAATGTAATTTTTAACCAGTGGGCTAATAATTTTGTGTGCTGAACACACTAAAAGGTGCAGAAAAGACTTACTAGATCAAGCTATTCCTGAAAAGGAAGGATAATAGCCTTCAAGAGAGGACATATCAGATACTTAAAAGCTTATTTACCTAAAATAACCACTGTACTATCAAACATCTGCACTGTATGCAGACAGATTGTTCTGTTTAGTGGAATCCTGGCCAAATAAAATATCCTCTACAGTTGACAATTACAGTTGAGACAGAGTTCAGAGATAAAGGTTGGGAGGGAAGAAAGGAGAACACTGGCTTGGCCGTTGTACTGGGGCTGTGCTTCAAGCCTTGGTAATACCTGATGACAGCCAGCATGATATTTACATTGCTGCATATAACATAAAGACAACTGACAGTGATTAAAAGGGAAGGATAAACCTTCTCCAGTAATATTGCTGTGTTTGGAAATGAGATGTTTGAGCCTGCTTTCCATCGTGTAGAATTAACACTGCATAGCTGCAGTGCCCTTTAAATTAGCCAGAGATGCTGGCACGAAATCAAATAAATATAATTGGTTTCAAACTGAAAGTCTAATTTAGGCATGCTAATAGCATCTTAAGTAAATGTGGCAGGTCATGCAGGACTTGTGTAACTGGCCCTTGGAGCTTACTGTAGTTACTACCATGGGGAAAATGGTCTCGGAGGCATTCCCCAAATCGCCTGAGCACCTTCAGCAACTGGAGGGTGTTTGTATTTTCTGATGAGGTTCTGATCTATTCCCTGCAGACCGTCCCTGTGACAGTAGTGTTTCTCTCCTTTTCTTGAGGTGGGCTTCAGGTTAAGTCATACCTGCTTAAGGGTACGATGGGAACGTATGCTAGTTTGAACTAATTTGGTGTAAACTGGGGGCTGCAGGAGGTTAGGCATCCAGTCACAGCAGCACCCTCTGGCCATCTCTCTCCTCCATGCTTTGGTGTTTGCAGTGAAAAAGGTTGGGGAGAATATTAGATGGGCTGATACTTGCCCCTGATAATTCTTCTCTCCACTTAACACCATCTATGTCTAGTGGCTTTTTCTCTTGTCTTTGCCCCCCTCCCCTTTTCTTCTGTCTCTTGTTCCAGCGTAGAGTCCGACACCTGGGCAGCTGCAGCTCTTTGCTGTGTTCAGCACCTCTTGGAGGCAGGGAGGCAGCTGACAGCCTGGCTCAGCTGCACGCACCGTAAACTGGTGACTGTAGGTGAAGCAATTCATTGGTGAAATCAAACAGCAAAGTGACCTGGTGACAGTTTTGTCAGAGAGCTTGCTGACATGCTTCACGTGGTCAGCCCTATTCCTCGCCCTCCGTTCCGGTCGTGGCCTGTGTTACATTAACAGGCTGACTGTTTTCTCTCTGAAACCGTCACTTCTGTGCTTAGTCTGTTAGGATTCCCGACCTGAGTGTTTGCCGAAGGTGGGAAAACAGATGACGTTTCTCTGTGTTCAGGGCCGAAGAGATATCGAAAGAGTTTTGAGAGAACAATGCAGTGTGGGGTGGGGTGAAAATTTCCATAAGACTCCCCTTCCTTTCTGCAGAAACCTTGGCATTGAGTTGTGCAGTTTACAGTAGCTCGATCTCTCTACAGCGTAGAAATCAGACTCATTTATAAAGCGGAGTTCGATGAGGCCGTGGGGAGATGTACCCAGCCGCAGCTATTGCCCACCAATTGCTTATGGCTCCAAAAATGGTATTGGACTTCTTACAAGTGACTGGATATGGGTTTGTATTCCTCCTTTTGAGTTTAAGAGTTGAATGAAAGACCTGGGCAATACGTCTGCAGCGTCAAGTGTTTCTGTATTGATGGAGCACCGGCGGGGAAGCGTGTCTAAACAAGTGCTGGCAGCACTGTATGATTTTCCCTGGCTTATCATCGCTCTCCGCTGTACACGGAGCCTTAGGAGTCCTGAGAAAGACATTGTCTTACATGGGCAGAAACCTCTGAGCTCTGAACATGATGCATGGTTTTCAGTGGTATTGTCAACAGCAAGAGCTCGCATCGTGATGGTGAATAATTCACTGTCGGCAATTTTACGTGCAGTTCAAATACTTTGGCTGGATTTCGAACTCGATAGCTGAGTTTCAGACAACTGCTGCTTATTTTCTGAAATTCTTTGAACATGCTGGTTTAACACTGGAATACCAGTTGTCTGTTGGACACTGCAGGTACTAACACGAAATGATTGAGCAAAGATTCTTACGCTTCGGGGAAAACATGTAACTGAGTCTTAACAACATAAATCCCTCGTGTGCGAGTTCTGTCTGAAATAAATGGGCTCGCAACTTGCACAGAATTGCAAACTATTTGAGCTCTGGCTATACTGGGATACATGACCAGAGGTCATTACAAAGAGATACACCTGCAATTTAAATAAAACAAACATAGGATTTCACAAGTAATAACTGTGCTTTTTCCCATTCTTCCTTCCACTTCTTTCATTAAAACGTCTAGACTGTGGTCATCAGATGTGCTGGTGTGAAAGTAATTTGCATTTAAGCCTTAATTCTGTGCCTGGACATATTACTTCCCAATTATTACCCTTTCTCAGAGTGTTGTCCAGCACATGCCCTGCGTCTCAATGTACGTGCAGTCACCTTTGGTTTGAACTCAGCTAAATGTTTGCAGCACTTGGCTCAAGGTGAGCTTGAAAGAGGGTTGAACGTGCTGCATTCAGTGATGTGAGTTATGCCCTATGGAAGGGCGGGGTGACATTTTGACATTGACCGCGTGGAAATGCAAAGGTTTAGAATAAATTATTTAAACCAGGGTTGGGCTATTCTTTTTAAAGGCTCTTCCTCAGTAATACAAGGGTAGCTACTCTCTTGTGAATGTGAGAGTTCAGCTATTTCGCCTGCCTGTAGGGCTGCTGCACATGCATGCTGCAGGTGTCTTCATTTGCAGTGTGTACTTATGCTCTGTGTGATATATAGTCAGTGGGGATTGCTGGTTTTCCTCCACCCCCCCATATAGGCTTTAAAATTGGCTTCCTCACAACTGTTCAGTTAAATCTGCTTTCACTTTCTGGCTTTGCTTACACTTCTTTGTTATAATAGGTGATTTATGTCTTCCCTGCACTGTATTAGCAAGTATTTCGTTCCCTCTTCTCTACTCAATATCTTTCTGCCTCTGCTGTAGATCAAAAACCAAACAACTGCAGTTGAGAGAGGGTGCACCAAGTTCAACCTGGCCTCACTCTACCTC